TTGCGGGCTACGAGACTGGTTCGGAGCCTTGACTGGCAAAGATATCGAGACAGACTCTGTGGTTCAACTCTATCCGGGTACAGCAAGCCTAGCACCGGTGACGCCGAACGCAACGGCATGTGGGTCTCGAACTCTCGACACGGATTATGAACCCTTCAGACAAAGTCCCAGCGTGAGGCTGACACGTGAAGTCAGTAACCCTGTGAAAGCTTACGGCGTACCCTGCTTCTCGCCAAAAGTGCGGTTACACCGTTGTGAGACTCCTTCTTACGGTATGCTGTCTGTAAGCAGCCTTCCTCGGGACGACCCTCCACATAGCCAAGACCTTCATCGGTCATCCGCAGTAACTTTGACGTCGCTTACCTCAACGTTACGCCATACTAGGGTCTGGGATCGAATCTGTTCGACCTAGCAAAGCATCTACATCATAGGTCGATATATCCATGTGGCTGACGCCCGCTTCCTCTACCAAGACCAAGTCGACCCGCTATCAGGCTAAAAGCTGACGGCAGCCAAAACGGTCGCCCGTCCACTGTTCGCATCCTTGTCATTGCCTCAATAGTCATCCCTGCCCGCTGATTACCGAGATCTAAACAAATGACAGCGAAGCACGCAAGCGTCAAGGAGTACTTGTGGGTACAACCGAGCTGCAACCAGTGAAGGGGTACCCATGTGCCCGAGCTGCTGCAACCCCTACCTACCACGTTCCCCACATCCTGAAGCGTCGATCGTGTCGGTCGCTTCTACTTGTGGCGAGCTGTCGAAGCGCTCTACGTTGGCATCGCGTGCGTCTCGTACTCCATCGCGTGGTTCGATCTTAGCCACCATCGCATGTCGTCTTATTCCGGTCAGGGTCGACGGAGCTCAGTAATCTCCCAAAGACAGAGCAGCACGGATTTGGCGCATCATCTGCAAGCCTCACGCCAGCCGCACGCCATCTGACCAACCTAGAGCGTGCATGTCCGAACCACTTCGCCAGCCGACATCGCCCAAGAGCGCACGCCAAGAACATACTAGGATAGCACCAAGGGCCATAGTAGACTCGGAGTCGTCCGTGGTATCTGACAACCAAAAACCGGTTCCAGTTGCCCGTTGCCGCAACGGCTCGCGACGATCTGTCAGAGAATGACCCGTTCTCTCAGAGCAGGCCGCAATTCCGGATCGTGGCTGACTCTTTGAACACCGAGGAGCCAGTGACCCATTGCTTGCTCACCGCATTCCGGACTTTGGGTATCCACGTTGATTGTCCAACGTCACCACGCGGCAGACGCAGCCCCCATGGCCCGCAGGGCGCGTACCATGCGCTTTGACTTTGTCTCAGTATTCTCCGCATGCGAACTCGTACGGTAGTGCACAGTGCGGCGTGTGGGGTCTTTCTGCCCTTCGTAGACGTTCTCCTTTCTTTTCATCTCTTTAGATGAGCCCCTCAATATGTCGCAGCTTACATGGAAGCCCTAAAATGTGGAGAAGCACGTTGAGAAGGTGGCGCTCGCCCTGGCCACATGGTGCAGACGTGGAGATGGGATGGCCAAATTGATTCGGTATTACACGCAGCACTACCGTGAAGGACTGCAGTGTCACCGTGATTTGTCTCCTTGTGTCCTGGATTTTCTGTTCCTTTGTACTGGGTTATGCACAGATGTAGCGGAGAGTAGGGAGGGGCTCCGGCGCTGAGGTCTACCTGTAATGAAGGGGGCTTGCAGCGTGCATGTAATATGACTCCCGTTTTGGAATCGTAGATTTGAGGGCATTCACAACTTCTTAGTTGAGATGTTAAGGCGGCTTGGACAATCTTGTTCACACCACAACTTGCACAAATGTTAGCACGCTGATGACGGTGCATTACGTTTTCACGATCCACTACCGTTGATGTGCTCCCCCCGCTGCAAGATCTTATCATCAGCTGTGACTATTGCATCGGCTCACGAGCCCAAGGCGGTCATCTGACTGTACTGTAGCAGATCATCCTATTCCAGAGCTCGATGCTCTTCTCCTTAGTGAGTCCAGGTATACATGAGATGGGCATTTGCTTACAAGGGCTCAAGCAGCAGGGCCCTTCGGGAGATGCGGGCGGTCACTGACCCGTCGAGTTCCAGGCTCCCTAGACGGTATTGACCAACGGCGCGTTCCAACAAAGCTCAACAGATCTGGGGTGCATATCAGGGCAATACTCCTTGCATATCTTGATGTAGCCTCGGTGTATGCTCTCCGTACCCTGTGCCTTAGTGACACTTGCCTGTGACGAAAGTGACTTGTTCCTATCCAATCGCGTTGATATCCTGAATAGTCTCATGTCTTACCGGTCCGCAGCAATGTTTCCATACTTCGCAGCTGGCGAACTTTCTCTCGTTGTTCTAACCAGGGCTTTGAACGTGCATGCGACAAATCTATGGTACTGGTAAAGACACGCCCTCGTGCCGGAGATTATTGACGTTCCACCGGGTAGGGTCGTGGGCCGGGAAGCCGAACGCTGGTATACTAAGACGAGGAAGGGCCGCATGGCAAAGCTAAGGTTTGGTAGCGGGAGGGCAAGAACGCATTAGGTGAACAAGTGCCGGCATCGCTCGCTACGTACCACATGTGGTCTCGCACAACTTCCTGCAAATCCTTGACCTGACCAGGGTGACCTATGTTCCGTATACTCAGTTGAAGCGCTGGCAGCCAAACGCTCCTGTCCCCGAGTATCGCCACGCAGCCATGGCATCACTTCTTACCTTGACTGGCCAACAGACTTTGGGTGGCACGGTAGTCAGCACAACAACACGTGTAGCCCACCAACCTCTACGGCAATGATTCCAGTCCTCCACATCCAATTCCAATTAGCGCAAGTGTCGTGCTCGAAGCAGTATCTAGTTGTGTCCAGGTCCTTGATCCAGTCGAAAGCCCCGCAGAGGAAGCTTGGGGCTCGCGGAACGCAGGGGTGTACTTTTGAAACATCGAACCTGGCTATAGCATCATGAGACAACGTATTCGATAAGTGGTTGGCCCTACGAAGTGACCAAGACTAGCGATCATAGTATCACTGACTCGTTGTTGGTACGGCACAGGGTTTGCTCCGTACTCGTGTGATCTCCTAGGTGGCTCTATCTGGCCTGTAAGTTGGTAAAGGGCTGTTAAGTCAGGATTGTTTAGTTGCGTGTATACGCGAGGTGTGGCTATTGCGCTAACTTATTGACTACCCACTATTCTCCACCGTATACTAGAAGCGAAGTAAGGAGACGAAGGGAACTTCCGTACGTGTACAGGCAAGCTGACGATATCATATCTCGGAGTAATTGTACCCGACGCTACAGGCGAAAACACGCGAAGGACTTTGCGATTTTCAGAACATGACGTAAAATACTTGAGGAAACCTGTGCATCAGGATGGCGTGCATAAAGTTTGGTACCAGAACGCCCTCGCAACGATCGTGCCGTCAGTCCGCACACCAATATCTCAAGGGGCAAACACATTATGGTATAACGCCGAAAACCAGTATACGTGAAATCGTACATCGCACTAATCGTGGGCATCAGCCCTGATAAAGCTAGGCGGCAGCCACATAGCCACTGACCCGCGCCGGAGGAAAGGAAAGTAACATCAACAAGACGGAAAACATAGTGATGTCAGGGTATAGGATATGCTAGCAACGCACGAAAGGTGAGCCAAGTGGCGGCCCAAGATGATTCCAAATGCACAACGAGTCGCAGCCGAGTGAAAGGAATCCTGCCCTCCCCTTGGGGAGGTAACAGGGCGTGTATTGTTGTACTTTTTGCGAGAGGCGGTGTTATGGTTCCGGGATGACAAGGGTCGGCCAAGCGAGGCTCAAACGCGGCTCAGAGTGCGAGCCCTGTGCCGTCGCCGCTCCAACGGTAGAGACTCAACATTTCGCGCCGACGCTGTTGCGCAAGTTGGGCATGTTCGTCCATGCCGCGGCCGCGCACTTGCTGCAAAGCAGAACGCATGACTTTGCGGAAATTTCGCTGCGGGGTGTTAGCATGATTACTGATCTTGGCAGAGCACTGCTGCAGTGGGGCCGCCAAAGGTTGAGGTAACAATGACGGGCTGGTAGCGCCACTTACCTGATATTCGGTATTGAGGGTGACGATGCATGCTTCATGCGCGCGTACTATCACTTCGCATGCCCGCGCGATGTTCGGGCTTGCATCTCCTTGCAGCTTGTCGGCTATGAGCAGTAGCAGGAAACTCCCTTGCAAGAGGTAGATGCCGAAGAAAAACGGCATGAAGCTTAGGTCCGGATCGTATTCCAGGATCTCATTCAATGCTTCGGCGGCTGATACCGCATGGCCAGTTGCATCGACGAAACTTTGCGAAGAGATCCAAAGGTCGTTGTCATCGAGTAGCGAGATAGGATCCCATTTACCATTGAGCAAAATGTGAAGCGTGTGCATGAGGTGCGTACCATACGCTTCCACAATCTTAGCATGCATCAATGACTCCTGCGCTCTGGACATAGTGGAGTTGACAGACCGGCCGGATGGTGTGTCGGGATGTGATGGTTCGCGTTCAGCGTTGGCCTCGTTCACTGCGCGATTGCGTAACTCTTGGAGTGACTGCCCATACACTACCAGCTGTTGACTGATCTCGAGTGCGTGGTGATCCCAGTCTGTCTTCGTCCCAAATCGAGGATGGTTGCGGGCATGATATAAATCGGTAATTTCCCCAAGGATGGTCATCAAAGGAAGGAAAAATCCGAAAATGGAGTGTCCGGTGCACTCAAAGGCAGGCCCTCGAGATCGTCGATGAAGTGTGGAATCTGAAAACGATTGAGCGGAGTCCTCGAAGAATTCGCCAGATTGCCATACGTTATCGTCAAGTGGCTGCAGAAGGCCCGAACATTCGACGTCTAATAAAGACAGAGGTCGGTTGTAGCATAACGCTAGGTGGCTGTTGAGCAATCAGCGTGTGTTGACGGGCAGATCTGATGGATGCGCAAGAGCGTTGGCAGAAGTCGAGCAATGCCATGCTGCGAGTGTCACAGTTGACAAAGATCAGATGGCTTACCGATCAACAGTGAACAGCAGCCACCATATACGTCTGCGCTCTTCTCTTTGCTCTTCTGTGAAGTCCATGGATGTGTGGTGACTGGTCGGGTACCCTGCGCCCATGTGTTCCGCATCGAGGTCTCCTGGTGCATCTTCGTCGTTCGGCTCGGGAGGCGGTGTTACAGGCACTTCCTTGCCAAGTTTAAGCTCCCTAGCCAGTGACCAGGCGGCGTTCCACCAGCGGAGTGATGCAGCCTTGTACTCGCTGGCCGAGATCACTATGGCCAAGTGCATGTAGGTTGCTACGTCGTCAAGGCCTCCTGGTGCTCCCGCTGTTGATAATCGTGTTAGTGAAGGGAACTCCGCAAAACTGAACATGGTTGGTAACTTACGCAAACCAATGTCGGAATCTTGTGTGGGCATACCAAAACCACCCATGGTGACACCATTGATCAGCCCGTTGCCGTTGAAAGCCGTCGGACTGGTATCGGAACCACCTGGATGTTGATGCACAAGAGGCTTCAAGAGACTGATCGTCAGGTTGATAAGTTTCTCCGATAATTGGCTCCGCGCAGATGGCGACGAGGAAAGATATGGAGATTCGCTTGTCAAGCAGCCAATCCAGAGCATACTTGCCAACAGTGCTGGGCTGCACACGCGAGGGTTGTTGGTGCGGAGGAAAGAGCGCTTTCGGAAGACGTAGCCTAGTACGTAAGGGGAGACTGGTTGCATAAACGCAGTTGATGAACTCTGGAAATAGAGCTCTAGTAAGTCGCAAGCTAGTGAAATCGGCATGAAATTTGCGAGATGTGGTACTAACGGCTGCAAGACAGGGTATCTCAACTGCTGAGAGGGATTCTGATGTTGTGCGCCAGAGTACATCGTTGTAGAAGGTGAAGGCAGCATCCAACCAGGCGATCCATCAACTGGTGATTGAGGCATGTAACCCATGTTGGATGTCTCTTCGGGCATCCTGAAGGTATTCGTGGGTGCTTGTGTATGTGCGCTTTGTGGGCTCATCATACTGTAGGGGCTGTCAGAGTACTCCATCCCATGGCCGTGCGAAGGTACAACGGGCTGCATTCCAGGTTGCATCATCTGGAGTGGTGACTGATAGGTAAGGCTCCGGTGGTACTCCTCCATTGACGTGTACTCGGGCATGGGGTTGTGCATAGACAGCCCTTGAGTCTGTAATCGGGGCGGCTGCATAGGATGCATAGATTGCATGCTCTCGGTCATTTGATGGTGCATATCAGATTCTGGCATAGTGTCGATTGCACCCATGCTCATCGTCCTGTTCTGATACATCGACGCGGTATCCATCTCGGGTCGTGTTGTCGCAATACTGGCCGATCGACCAGGTAGCTCAGGCAGAGAGCGCTGACCTTCAGGAAGCTTAGGACTATTGCCGTGAACAGACTCGGTAGCTTTCTCCGACGATTGCGGGGTGCTGGAATCCTCAGACTTCGGCGCACCAGTGCCTCCTGCGGCGGTCGCAGCCTGTTGTTGGGCAAGATCCTTCCGCGATGCCTTTCCGCGTTTCTTGCGCTCACGTATGTACTCGCACGTCAATCCAAATTCTGACACTGTATTAGCCAAGCTGTCAGAGAGGTGGTACATGGGTGATGGAAAGTGAACGGCAGTTTTAGCCCCGTAGCTAAGAACCTCTAGCGGACGCTACAAACGTAACTTTTGGTCGCCTAAGCAGATGGTCCTCAACTCGGTTCATCCACCGCCGAGCTCTCCATGAAATCATAACGTACCTATGCAATGCGCACACTACTCATACCGTTAACATATTGATTCAGGAATCGACCGCCTGGGGAAGGACCTACAGATTGTCTACCATCGCACTTCGTTCGCAACTGGTTACACTGATCACAAGCTCGGCTGATCCTGCGTCGCACTGGCCCAGACGTTGAGTTACCTCGTCCCGACCGCTCATGGAGCATCTCTCGCTGGTGTCGAGGCGCTATAGGACCACTGGCGTACGGTAACCGATGAGGCTTGACAAGTCCTTTTCCGTTCGGCAACACATGCCGGTTCTGATGAAATTGTAGGGCTGCGTATTGTGATGTGTGCGCGAGGTTGTCGAGTGATGACTGCCCCATATGCTGGGCGGCGAAGTGATGATGTTGATGTTCGACCATGTTCGGCGCGGGGAGGTGGCTGAACGCCGAGGGGTATTGATGGAGATTCGTGGAAAGCATAACTGCGTTCTAGCGTCCGTCTCCACTACAATTCCACCACTCGAGGATAGGTCGGGGAGTGTCAGTTATGCGGGAAGTGACGGTGAAGTCTGACTTCAGATTGTCCAAGGGGTGGCGAAGGGCGAAGAGCTGGCAACAAGGCTGAGGGATGTCAGCACAGGGCTGGAATTCCAAGGTTATGTCGTCGAGGGACGTCAAAAAGATATGCAGGTCAGTTGTCCAAAGGCCGTCTTTTGACCACTGCTGTGCGCCTGGGGTACCATATAGCACTCGGTTGTTAGGTACTGTCTCGGCCTCGAAGCTCAACCTTAGTGGACGCAGTGGGCTATAACACAGAACTGTCCAGTGCCTGAGGTGCAGGGTGAAGATACCGAATCGGCATGGACAGCCAGGTCCTTTCTCCGGGACCAGCTGCATCGCGCGTTAGAGACGTCTCTGGCCACATGCTGCAAACGAGATGGGCAACAGGGCACGCATGTTCGTGGGTGCGTGCGCCTTCGAGTCTAACTCGCCTTCCGTTCCTCCATCTCTAGTTCGAGCAATTCACCCCTGCACGGCCAGGGTTTTGCTGCACACCAACATTCCACGTTGAGCACTGTCCACGAACGCCGCTGGATCTTCGTTGCCGCGGACTTTTACGGCTACGTCCCAGAGGCATCGCCGCAGGTTAGACTCGTAATCAAAAAACCATATTGGTTGATCGGTGCCATCCCGACCCTATATGGGGTCGTGTTAAGGAAGGCGGCGTACCGATGCCGGCTCAACAAGTACCTTGGGGTACCTGCCCGTGCCCAGGACCCACCTGCTACCACACCTTCGCCCGTTTCCCGTTGCTGAGCGATCAGAACAGGGTGCCGGGGTCGTGATTGGCGACCGCCGCCCGTGCAGCAGTGCGTTAGCAGGCGAGCCGCTGACAGCACGGGACCTGGCAGTCTCCATCGCCTAGACTCCCTTCTACGCGACCACCGCGCGCGGGACAGCCATTTTCTAGTCGCAGCCCCAATACGCGTCCCCCGGCTCGCGATGCATCCTGACATCCAGGGCTACCCGCTGTCCTGCCGGTCATCTGCACCCCAGCGAATAATCCGAAATCTGTTGGGGCCTGCGCTGATCACCTTCGCTCTTTTCATAAACCTTTCGCCATAGGGAGACATAAATTACGGGAAATCAGAGAACCGGGTGATGCACTTCAGACGCTTCAATCGCTGTCCTTTGCATTTCCCACTTTCCAGCTCAGACGAAAGAATTGACGACCAAATCGTCAGGCAAAACGTTCGCTTACGTCGGCGCTGGGGACCCAGACAGTCTTCGCATGACAGTCTACCCCCATTCACTTCGGTAATGCATATTATGTATCTCTCCATAAACATGACCGAGCCAGGTTTACCACCTGCAGCACGCAGATATACACCTGCCAAGACAAAGCTGGAGTCGACCTGGTGTGCACAATTTTCTTGTCTATAACACGTTGTATTATAACATTACACGCGGAAAAACCTGGCATGTACAACGGTTCTCCGAAGCGAGTGGCGCCAGCGATGCTAAAAACGTGTGCTATGCGCCGATTGTTCCCACGGTACGGCCTACTCCGCCCTAGTTGTTAGCTAGAGCGGGTGTCTATAGTTTGGTAACGAGGGCGTTCTGCTACAGTGAGACTGCGTTGAACCTGGCTAGCTCACTCACAGCTGCCTGTACGATGTCTCGTGGTCAACATCCAGCTGAGATATCTCCACAATCTTTACTGGGCGACAACGCTTGCTGATTAGGCATCCCCTCTCTGCTCTACAACGCTGCGGAGCCAGCGGATCGCTCCGCATTCCAAATATGTGCCGCTCTTGATGGTGGCTTAGAAGCGTTTTATTGAAGACTTGGCCTGCATTCATCCTTGACGACGTAAGCTCTTTCAGTCAAGGTCCAAGTCGATATCAAGGTTCTCGTTACTAGGTCGGATCCGGGACCTAGTGAGTCTGCGTGTAGCAACTGGAATAGCTCAGGGGAGTTTTACCATGATTGTTGTAGTCTCTGTAACGATTTGAACGCCGGATCAGCCACCGATCATGAGGAAATTCGGTTTGTACAGCCAAGCAATATGTGACGACCATCTTTCACAAGCCTTCTCTTGCCTACTAATAGCCAGGAAATAGTACCAGACTTAGGTTTCAGCAGAACGAGGATTTGACAGGTCAGCAACTACCGATCGAGATATGCCTGCTCATTTCCGTAATATTAATGAAAGGTCAGGTGATCAGCCCCGATGATTTATGGGGGAGTAGGCTCATCGCGCCTAGTAGGTGGTAGGCTGTGGGTCTTATGACAAACCGCTATAAGTGTCGCGTACCCGCCTGGTGTGAGGAAACCGATCCGGCGTCGAGTCTGAATCTAGGAAGACGTGGAGCAGCTGTATAGGATCGTTTAGATGCTGTTTCCAGCAGCCTTGTGACTCCGGGGACAAATTGAAGGGCCAAGGTGCGACAGTGGTCAAAAGGTCAAGCTGTTACGGACGGTCACTAAGGCAGTGCATATCAGTTGATCGCAAGCTACACAACTTCGACTTATCTTGTCAACTTCATGTTGGATACCGTCAGTGAACGGTAATATTGCCGGCATGATGTAAAAACATCATCGGAAAGTTTTATCACAGTCGCTTTCACATCCAGGGTGGAAGAAGGGTACAGGTGGCTTGGATGGCGGCAACCAAGAAGTGACTCAATAAAGTCCAGATCTTCGTGCTGACAGCCTTCTCATCGAAAGTCCGGATCGACGTCCGCGGATTGTCTGGAGCGGCGTAGGTTGGCAAGCTACAGGGAAGAGTGGAGAACCCTATCATGTTCCCCACAGCAAGTCTGTGCCCTAAGACCGAGTGACTGGACAATGTTCTGTAAGGGACTATCCAGCCTGAGCTCAATACCCTCGTTCCTATGGGCTATCATACACCTGCAGTCTGGAGCAGGAAGGGTAGATACGCAAGGCACGACGGCTCCTCAGCTCCGAATTGGGCTGGCTTGGTGACATCTAGATATTGCATGCGCAGCTCTTGACGCCGCCGCCGCATGCAACGCGTGGAGTTGATTGATGAGCGCAAGCGAGGGCCGGCCATCCCGCCAAGCTACGCACCGTTAGCAGAACCATGTACGGCCTATGGTCTTCTGCAATGCATGCTGACGCTCAAAGTTGGAGCCAAACTCGCCACCACTGCCGGCGAGCTAGAACGGTCAGGACACTTCCAGTGCCAGTTCATCTATGGATGCGGAATGGAACCTCGCGTCACTTGCGTGGGTCGTCAGTGTGATTTCTGTCGAGCGGATGTGTTGTATAGCAGAATAGAGATGGAGTGATGGCCTTTCTTTTAATCTCCCCGGCTGCTTTCTCCTGCGTAGGTCCGACCACAGTAGACTGACGGAAGATGGAAGATGGAAGTAATTAGTCAAGATGAGTCGTAAAGGCGCAGGTTACGGCATCCTTTGCCCGGGAAGAGCAGCATACCCAGGTGCCACAGTCTTACAAGTCGCTCGGGACGCTACGTGGTGGGTGCGGAACCGGCTCTGTAGACGTTGCCTCCAGCGAGAGGATGCCGCCGGTACACCTGCCGAACTCTTGTAGCTCTTATCTCCACACTGGGCTGGTGGCACTCACATAATTTGGCCATGTCAACGAATCGGCGACGCCGCACCAATATGCTGTTCTATTCAAATACTGGGGGCGCGGCGGCCGTCAAATACCATCGTACTGTATTGAATGGCACACGGTGCTGCCTGGTCGCTTCTGTACACAGTGGCTATATGTTAATGAGGTAATCATAAAAGGCCCGAATTTGCACTATCTGCACTCCAGTATTTCGACTTCAGCTATGTGCATATCAGATTGCACAAGATAGGGGATCCACGTGTGCTTGAATATTACCAGGTTTGCGAGGATAGCGTCGGCGCGTCGATGCTGGCAACGAACGCAACGAATCCATATGGTTCGACGCGTCTTCTGAGAATGTCGCGCGATGAGCATGTCTCATAATAACGTTTCGCGTTCAGATTGAGTTTCCGCAGAGCACGCCATGGTGTTTGTTGATAGCGGACAGCCAAGTCCGTTTTTCGGCGTAAAGCCATGATAGTCCTCCACTGTAATGGGACGTGCACGAGCTAGCGTTAGCGCTGTCATACGTCATCTCCGATGCGACTGCGGGCAAAGCCTCAACTCAAAATTAACTGCTCCCAAGACGCCACTGAATCGACACGCCGTGCGTCTCTATCTCTATTTACCCAAATCAACCACGTACCAGACACACGCCATCATCATGTCGCTGGAGAAGATCACGACCATCTCTCCCATTACGAACAAGCCAGTTGTCACACGCAATGGCCTTTCAGATGCAGATCTCCAATCATTGCCTGAAACAGCCGCCACTGCGTTCGAGTCCTATCGACGCACATCGCTCGCTGAAAGGAAAGAGATTGTCAAGAAAGCTCTAAAACTGCTCAATGACCGCCAGGACGTGCTGGGCAAGGAGATCACTGAGCAGATGGGCCGTCCTATCGCGTACACTGCCAAAGAAGTTACTACAGCGGTGATGCGCGGCGAATATCTACTCAAGATTAGTGACGAGACACTTCAAGATACTCCAGGCGAGGCGGAAAAAGGTTTCAAGCGCTACATCAAGAAAGTCCCGCTTGGGCCCGTATTGATCTTGTTTCCATGGAACGTGCGTGCAGTCATAAGCTATTTTTGGTCGGCACATGCTGACTTACCTGCAGTACCCGTATCTGACCCTCATCAACTCGCTAGTACCTGCCCTGCTCGCCGGCAACTCGGTCATCCTGAAGCCATCCCCGCAAACGCCTACCAGTGCCGAGCAGATACAGGAGATCTTCAAGGAAGCCGGATTGCCTGATGGTGTGCTTCAAATCTTCCACAGCGGTTCCATCGTCCAGATTGAGTCGATCGCGCGTTCGCCCAAGATCCAACTGGTTTGCTTCACTGGATCGGTGGCCAATGGCCTTGCGGTTCAGCAGGCTGCAAATGACCGCGTACCGCTACGAGTGGGTCTTGAGCTTGGAGGCAAAGATCCTGCATATGTACGCTCCGATGTTGACGTCAAGTGGGCCGCGGAAGAACTTGTAGACGGCGCTGTCTTCAACTCTGGTCAGAGTTGCTGCAGTGTCGAGAGGGTATATGTCGACGAAAAGATACATGATGAATTCGTATCGGCGCTTCAAGACGTACTCAGCGGATACAAGCTTGGCGATCCATTCGATAAGAACACACACGTTGGCCCAGTAGTCTCCAAGCGATCAGCAGAGACGATTCAGGCGCACGTTAAGGATGCTCTGGAAAAGGGTGCCAAGGACGCTACCCCAGACAACGACAGTTTCAAGAATCCACCTGCAGATGGCAACTATGTGGCTCCGACACTCTTGACAAATGTCACACATGACATGACCGTAATGACAGAGGAAACCTTCGGTCCTGTCATCCCGGTCATGAAGGTGAAGAATGACGCGGAAGCAATCAAATTGATGAACGACAGCCAATTCGGACTGACGGCCAGCATTTGGACCAAAGATGTGAACAAGGGTCACGAGCTTGCCGATGACGTCGAGGCTGGCACGGTCTTCGTCAACCGATGCGACTACCCCGCACCGGTAAGTTATTCTAGCACTACACAGAAGACCTTACTAACGATCTCAGGATTTGGCGTGGGTCGGGTGGAAGGACTCTGGGCGAGGTCAGACGCTGAGCAAGTTCGGCTTCGATCAGTTCGTCAAGCTCAAGAGCTACCACGTCAAGGATTACCCGAAATAGATGACACGACACGGAGAAGTCAAGCATTACAGACGTATGCACGACTTGATCTCCTTGCGAGTGATGACCAGTGACATTCTAGTAGAGACCAGCAAGATCCTACACAATGAAGACTGCTCAACTTCATCTCACATGCCGTCGGCGATCCTTGAACATTTGTGACATTGTCGACCCCAATTTCAGTAACACTACGGTTACCAAAGTACCCATTGGTGCTGCTGGATCGCTGTTGGCACATGTCGCGCCCGATCGTATGAACGCGCCTCTCGGGTTTGTGTCGACTGCCACGGATGTTTGGTTGCCCACTAGCGCCTATCTAGTACCATGAAATGTCGTATCAAATTGGATGTCTCCAGCAAGTGAAAATCGTTGGCCTCAGAGATGTTATCCACCTCCAGCAAATGGTGGTGTGGTGTAGAATTCGTGAAACCGTGCAGCACTCGCAGGCCTCATACTAAGTACCAGCTTGATGATCGCAGTCTCATCTAGTATCTTTTTCCAAATGCGACGCGTCTTGCCGTAAGGCTTTCTGCTTACAATTCACATATTCGTTCTTTGTTCACGTGTTTGAGACGCACGAGCGAAGATACTCGCCCAGCTCCTTACATTCCGCGGCGCCCACTGCCGCTCTTACATCCCCAACGAAAGCAAAGGAATGTCAGCATCGGAACAATGAGGGAAAAGTCGTAAGGGATAACCCAGCGCCACGACAACGCCTGAGGAAGGCAGACTTGGTGCTACACTCTCAGTGCTTCACTCGCGCTTATCTAGTATTTACCTAGTAACATCTGTCGGGTATCTTCCTACGCGAACCAGGTGTCGCCATCCTCTCGCTTTTGGCCTATTTTCTGGCCTCTGTCGCGTTACTGTAAACTCTTTTCGCACCTGATCGTTACAAACGCGGCCGGCTTTGTAAGATCGCTGCATATACCACATTTCTTTTGACATCCGACGACATTTCGCGCATCGGAATTACACGTCCCTGGATCCCACCAAACTACGCGTCCTCGAACCCACACAATGGCATTCAGTCGCGTCATTCTAAGACTAAAACGAACACTACTCTGCGATAAACGCGAGCAAAAGCCCAATCTAGACAACATGGACATCGTACGTACCATGATCAGCTTTTCTCTCCCACATGCGCTGCTAACAAATACCAAAGGGAGGACCAACAGATGTCCGCGTAATCGACGTCTCAGACTTTTTACCAGGTCTTACCTACCACCAGCGCAAGCAAATCCGAGAAGAAGCGTCTAGCGGTGCGCTTCGTCTACAGAGCCTCCAGTCGCACCCACCACTGTCGTTTCCGGAAACGCCTCTCGACGGCTCAAATTCGGGCTTGCAGTCTATCGCGCCTGACCCTGTTCAATCTGCTTCCACCGAGGCTGATGCCGTATCCTCGCATTACCCATCTTCCGACGTGTTTCCCGAGGCCGACTCTGTGATAGCACACGCGGCGACTCTCGATGCGGGGCCGGGAGCAGAATTCAGCAGTGCTTCTACGAGATCGGAAGATGAACACAGTACAGATGTAGTGCGCATGAAGGATGTGGAGAAGGGAGAACGGCGATATAGCAGCGATTCCGGTTCTCCTCGATCTTCTCGCGAGATGGACGCAAAAGATAAGCATCGTATTGGTCCAAGACATGCGTTGACTCTGGATAAGGGCAGCGAGGTTCAGGATAGCACGGGTGCTGGGATTCTGGGGAAGAAAGAGAGGGACGCGGACGGGGAAACGTCAGCCCTCCGGCGAGGTGAAATGGACGTGGAAGTGCCACATTATTACAACAATCTCAACGCGGGAAACGGCTTCACCGCTGGGGAGACAAAAGTGCTTGCTGCATGCTAACAGCATAGAGGGGACGCAATGAAGATTTCACACGTCAACGCGCGAGATTAGATGCGTAGAAACATGACAACAAGAAACAGGAGACCGCCATGGGATAGATCGGCAAGTAATGGGAGAGGCAAGATGTCAAAATCGCATATAGAACAAAAGTCATTTCATCGTCACGAAGTTTCTTTCATCGCATGTGGGTCGTTTCACGAGAGCCCGATAGGAGTTTTTGATAATATATTGTTCTAGATTCGGATATCTTAGATGATGACATGCTGAAGATCGCCTTCCAAGCCATTGAGCTCGTGATGCCACGAAATGAGAAACGCCAAATACACACTGTCCATGTACCATATGCTGGTGGGTATCGATGCTATGCCTTTTCCGTTGAACGCCGAAAGCATGCTGGAACGTTTTTGAAAAAGAAAGCGTCCAATGCGCGTGGCATAGCCGACGATGCTGATGTGTTTGTTGAGATGTTGTAGTAGTTTTGGAACCGCCGCGTCAAGAGTATCCCTTGCTGTCGCACCCGGTGATTGACTGATCAGGGCTGCTAGTCTGAGTCGCCATCGCCATCCGGTGTGCGAGAATTCCTCTTCTTCTTGGACCCAGCAGGCCTACCCCTTGCCTTCTTCGGTGTGTTGCCTAAGCTGACATTGCTCTTCCTCTTCCTGCCACGACCACTAGTAGGGAACGGCGGACCGTCTTCGCCAGTCTCGATTGGCGTCTCATACCCTGCAGCAAGTGCATCGTCTCCTTCGACGTCAATGAAGGCCTCGCGATCAACATCCAGTAAATCTGCAAAGTCATAACATTGTTTCACCATGCTCTCGCGGCTATCTAGAGCGCGCATGATCGTTTCGAAGCGTTCCCAAATTTCCTTGCCAGTGACGAGGTTGTTACGATGCGCAGGCTTGATGTAATCTTTCTGCGGGATGGGCGCGTTGCTCTTCAGGGAGTAGCATTTTCGAACAAACGTGCGAGTTTCCCACACCATCTGCAGGATCATACAAGCTGTGGTAATCTGACGAAGTCTGTCGTTGCTAATTGTTGGAGTAGCGGGTTGAGGTGCTGTCGGAATTGGCGCTGGTAGCATTGATGGAAATCCATTTGTACCACTAGCTTCCAACATTTGCTGTTGGTACATATCTTGAGGCTGAGCTTGCACTGAATTCGCGTCTTGCCTTGGAAGTTCGTCCGCGATGATAACTCCTATAGCGGGCCCTGTGGTGTTCAGGACCATCGCTTCAACTGCATGAAGGAACACAGCAAGCTCTTCCAGGTGAGGGAAGTCAAGCAAAGCCAGATTCTCCAGACAGAAGCGCGCGTACAACACAGCCTCTGGTATGGTGCCACTCATATCCAGCTTTGAAAGGTCGAAGTCAACTTGTTTGCAAAAGTTGTTGATGAACTTTTTGAGACTGGCTTTCTTGCCCGTCTTCAATGCCTCAAACAACTTTGCGAGCTTTGGAGTGTGTGTAGCTTCGACCATGCCGTGAGGATCAGCGAACATGTTTAGTTGATACTTGAAAGCCATGTGTATGGCCTGCATGTACTCCTTTTCCAGATACGACTCTTGCTTCTCGTGAATGCGTCTATGTTCGTCGGCTGCAACTCGAGCCAGGCTAGGGTAAGGCGAGGTCGCAAGAGCGACAAGCGCAGCACCACACTCCTTTGGATGAACAAGACCTTGGCGACTGATGCTAGCGATGATGTCTGTGGCAACGACGGCAGCCTCATTCTTGTTCTCCAACGCAGCTTTTACGAAATATTCTAAGAACTTCTGCGCCAGATGCAGTGTGGCGTGGTCGTTTCCGGTAGCCGTAAAAGACGTTTCTAAGCGCGCGGAGCCATTAGCAGCTCCTTTGCCAGTTGCAATTTGCGCGCCAGTTTCCGAGCGCCGCTCAGCGACAGTGAAGAATTGCCTGAAGAAAAGCAGTGCGATGCGCTTCAGGGTGTCGTTTCCTTCGTTAACAAAGACAAGCTTGACCACCTTCTCCACTTCACTGCGCATGAAGTGCTCTGGCGACTGCTGGCATATGCCGCCCATGCTCAGCAGGGCTTGCTCGCGAATCTTGGGCTCCCAGATCTGCATGGTGAAAGGCCGGACCGTGTCTAATAGGAATAGAGAGGGAGGTGGTGGATTCTTCTGGTTCAACATCGGCTCAAGGTGCTTCTTCAGATATTCCTTTTTGTCGTGCTTGTTGAGGGATGCACGAAGCTTGATAGTAAAGGACTCGATCTGTTGGTCCAGACTGCAAACTTGACCAAAAGCACCAAGCAAAATCAGATAGGACAGGATAGTGTCAACCTTAGTGGCGGCTTGCTCCTTAGTCAAGTCCAAGAGTGGCCTAAGGTTGACTATGACAGAGCAGATTGTGGCGAAAATCTTGTCAGCATCCATGCCCGGCATCTCACTGATAGCCCACAAGCAGTGAATGACATCAAGAAGAGTTTCTCTGCTTGTAGGCCAAGCCATCGACGCACACTTAGCCAGCTTAGGCACGTTGCGCTGAAGACTTGCTCGAATTTCTTCTGCGAAAGCGTGCTGAAGTGGTGGAAGTGTCGGCAGCACATGCCGAAAGATGACGACCGTTGGCCGCACAAGGGCCACGTCATCGGTGGAGGCGATGGTCTTGATGTATAGCTTTAGATGCCGCAGGTGATCGAGCGTAAACAGTGTCGGTTCGATCTTCGCGAAAACACTGAGGGTGTTCATAACACGAGCTTGAGACTTGATATCCGTACCGCTTCCGGGAGCAATGGCTTCGTCGACCAAGTCCACAACTAGCTGTGCGCAAATCTTTCGGTTAGCAACCGGACCCTTGGCTTCAGGTGACAGACAGTGAGCGAAAAACTTCTCGAAAGCTTCCAAATGTACAGCGCTTTGCTCGATAGAGTTCAGGAGTTCTACCATGAAGGCTGCTCGCTGAGCACGGTTGAGCCTGTGCATACTGTCGTCGGTCTTGACATTGTTATCAGCTGCGGTCAACCATATCTCCTCGAGGACGCTGCGACCCAGCTCGGAAATTGCACTCTCGTTATCCTGCGAAGGGAGGAGTAGAGGAGCGGCAATCTTCAGCCTGATCTGATTTGAAGTGGAGCGGAGATAAATCTCTTTGAGTAGCTTGATGGCCTTCTTCTTGGGGCCGTTTGAGGGATCTGTGGTCATTTCCAGAATTTGTGGCAGCACGTGGCGCTCGAGAGATGGTTCTTTGGCCAAGCAATTCGACAAGAGCGAAAGCGTCGCCTCTCGGACCATCGGTGAACTGTCTCTAAGTGAAGGGATCATGTTGATGACATGTTCTTCGGAGATGACCCGAGGGTCTTTGTCCAGCAGTTGTTGCAATCCTGCTGTTCCTCTCGTCCGAAGCTTCGAAGAGCTCTTGTCCCGGGCGTATGCCTGCATATAATTGACGATCTGCGAAAGGTATCTGCACACCTGGCTTTGTAAAGTGATGACGCCCGCGGCAAGTTTACTCTGATCATCTGATACAGATTGAAATTTGCTATCAAGCACAGTCAGCTGGGGAGCGAGCCTGGAAGAGTTGGAAAACTTACTACTTCTGACCGAGCCACTTCGGGTCTGCAATCATGCTTTCCAGACATTGCTGAACAGTTTGTATTGCTTGCGGCCTGTGATTGGTATCTTCATCTGGAACCGTTGGAAAAGTCTTGACGACAGCTGTCAGCCACGAGCTGATGTGACAGCCAGTCGCTGCCTGCAGATGTGGATCTTCCTGGGAGGGGCGTAAATCGAGATAATCGACCAATGATTCAAGTACCATGCGGTACGGGCCATCGAAAGCTAGCAGATCCACATCATTGACCCTCTCCTTGACATCTTCGCTCATAGCGTCATTCACAAGACGATCTAGTCTTGACGACAGATCCGATTGCGAGATGTCCAGCCTTTGCTTCATCTTCTTGAGTTGGTCTCTGAAATCGATCACGCCACAACCGATCCTCGCCATTGTTGTGAGTGCCATGTCTTTGTCGACCACGGAGTGTTTGTTTGCTGAGTCGTCCTTGAGTATGTTAACCATACGTACCAAGAGGCTCTGCAAAAGTATGACGGCAGCCGGCCACTGGGGAGAACCAAGGACGTTACAGAAATCGTCGATGAATAAGTCCAGAAGGTTGCGGAATGGCTTGTCGCCCGATTTGGAAGTATTCGAGGCTTTGTCGCACAGTTGGGTTACAATATACATTGCCGTGCTGGTAGCTTCCATCGTTAAGTCTTGAGCAATCACTGCCGACGTCCGGCCGGTGCCTCTCTTTGGGGCTTTCGAAGGTGCTTGGCCAGGTTCGTAATCGCTGACATCGTCTTCAATCATGTCACCAGCCACGTGTCCACCCTGCGACGCAAGACGAGTGCTCGGATTCGTTGCGACTACTTGGACAAAGCGCATGAAAAGTGCAGATATCGTCATAATCGGGACTTCACGAGCCGACAAGAATTGCCTCGCGCTCGCCTTTTTGTCGGGCAGCTTTTCCAGGTTGCCTAGAATACCATTTAGAATCGACTGTCGTTGGCTTGGGTATCGAGCAAAAATCTGGGCGAGAACATCCATGACTTTCTGGCGGAAATGCTCGAACTTCTTTATACTAAACACCGAATCCTTCTCGTTGTCGCTGTTCTGCTCAACGAGCAGTTCCAACGTCAGATACTCCAAAGTGTTGAGTGCCCGGTCCGGCAGGTTGTATTTGCCCATCAGCGTAGCAAAGCGGGTAAGGACTGCTCCACACAGTCGCAGCACCATCTGTAGATCTGACCTATGAGCCGATGCTGCAGTGAAAAGGTCTTGAGCCTCGCCAGACCGCCGAGATTGAACGACAGGGACAATGCAGGCATTCTTAATTAGCTTCGTGAGGTCAACGATGGAATCGATAATGTCCTCTCGTCGCATCCGATAGTCGTCACGACCCTCAATCATGGTTTCCAGCAGGAGCTTGGATGACTTGAGCGCGAACTTGGCTGTTGTAATGCTTTCGGTAAGCTCTGGGGTAGC